ATACACTAGTTTTAAATTAAAATGTACAGGACAAATGTTGCACATGTAGTTTCCTTAACAAAACTGCAAATTTTTTTGCTTGTGGTACCAGCGCTAAGTCCCAATTGCAATCCGGGCAACTGATAATTAAATTAAGACTAGTACTTAATTCCTTTCTTAAAATTTTAAAACCTATGTCATTTGTATCCAGCGCTCAGGCCTCAGAGTGGGGCTAAATTGGTCATGCATTGAAATTTATTATACAGCGTGCCTGGATTTCTTTGAGGAAAGCAGCATAAAAGTGATTATATAAGCCTTTCAAAACTAACATTGTGAGACCAGAGGTGCAGTTCTTTTGTACTAAATTGGCAATAGCTATAAATAGAAACTCATGATTCTCAGGTGACCATTATTCACTCTTAATTCAGAAATACACTTCTTTGATAATTATTGTCATATTATTAATTTAAACATGTTAGAGTAAATGTCAATAAGTTTAAGTACCTTCACAGTGACCTCCCCCTCCCCAATCAAGTTTTCCATTGATAAGATCACATGACCAAAAGTAAGCATTATGATTGGACATTATGGAGATAGAACTCTCTAATATTTATTAATTTGCATCAAATGGAGATAGAACCAAAAATTACTGTTAATATCTTCTTCATTTTTGTCCAAGGAAACAAAAGGATTTCATAGGGAGATAGATCTCAGCGAGCCGATTCCAACGATATGCATAACTTATTTTTTTAAAATTTTGGCACATAGAACCTTTTAATTCTCAGGCGACGAGCTGTTTTTTCAATAAAAAAGGAACTCGTAAATTTACTTACCTGGTCATTGGTCATTTGAAAATTATTTTGTTAAAACACATTCTGACTGCAAACACAAGTACACTGAAGTTGACATCAGAGATGCTTGAGTTTCTTAATGACAATATCTATGTGGTTTTTAGAGACCAGGTATTCCAACCATCTATTTGAATTCCCATGGGTACCAACTGCACTCCGTTATTTGCAGATCTATTTTTATATTCATATGAAGCAGAATTTGTGCAAAATCTTATGCGTGACTCAATGATAAATGGTATTTGCTGACAAGGTCATTGTTTAGACCACAGAACTTATGAAATGATGACTTTAAATGAGACTGCTGATATTCTTGTTTCATCAACTTGCTTGTCAATAATTTACCTCGTTTAACAAATTGTTCATACCTAGAGCCTACTCTTGCGTATTGAGTTACTGAGATATATATACACTCCTTATGCATGTGTTGAAGGTATATTGCTGCATAACTAAGGGAAGTAAAATACCCAAGTATGAAACAGATGTGTCAGAGTCTGTGGTATCTTTTATCTCAAGCTCTCCTGGACATATTGTATTGACATAGGAATGAAAATTACCAGTGTTAATTGACAATACATCGTCGATATATCTGAAGGTCGAGTTGAAGGCCACAGCAAGTATGAAAAAGAGGCATATGAGCCTCAAAGGTCACCCGAGCATCATGTACATCTTTCTAACAATTGCATAAAATTTATTTCAATTTGGTTCCCGTCTTAAACGGGGCCATATCATTCACAATGTTTAAAGAAGCACTATATCTCATCATAAGTTTACACGTAGCATGCTAAGTTTGGTTACCTAATAACCATAGAGGAAAAAAATCCATTTTTACTCATCAGTATTATTCAGGAATAATCAGTAGTGCCCCATGGCACCTCACATCAACCCCTTACCTAGGTTCCACACATTTCAAGATTTTGGAAAATGCACCCTTCCTCATAATAAATTTCTGATTACATGTACTACCAAGAAGCAGATTCCAAAGCATCAATTCATTTTCGGGATATAATTAGAGTGCACTCTCTATTTTCTACCTCATCCCTTAGCAAAGGACCTTGAAATTCATAATTCTTCAAGAAGGAACCTTGGTTATTATCACTATATGCTTGGTGGTATATCTGCTCAATACCTAAGAGCAAAGGAGAAGATTTTCAAAAGAATAATGCATTTTTGCTTTATAATCAAAACAGCACCGCCAAAACACCCAAACTCCTGACTCATGGGCCATGAAATTCATAATTTTCAAAGAGACGCCCTTCTTTATCGGGGTTGTCTGGGAAATACCAATGGTAACAACTGGTATTTCCTGTCCTGGTAAATACTATAAATACTACAAAGAATAAGTGCACTTGTTTGTTAATTTACATTTCGATTTGAGTCATTGAATTTTGACAGATTTATGGCATTTTTGTTTTTTTTATAATTGAAATTTCAATAATGTTTGTGATTTTCTGAATCAATGTTCAATTCAAGCTTCTTTCCTAAACAGCTAAAGAGAAAAAGTACAAAAATTGTTTTTACCTTCTAAATTTCCTTCTCTTACAATAAAGAGATGTTTATGGACTTCAAGTCCCCTGGTGGACTCTGTAACTTCACCAACATTTTGTCGTTTCCCTCTTAATCGCTTCAGCAGTGTTCTTAGTCCCTTAGTTGACTTTTTCACTTTACTGCGATTCTGACATTGCTCCGTTAATCGCTTCAGTAGAGTTGTTTTTCCAGCCTCACCACATCCAACAAGTATTCCACGGGCATGATAAACAGTGGTTTTCTCCTTTTTCAGAAACTCTACAAAACAAATAATAAAGACTTGTTTTTTTTTGTTAAATGTATTTAATGTTAATTAAATGTATTTAATTCTTTAAATTTCATAAACTAGCCTGGTTCAGAAGTTTATTTGTTTTAAGGTAGGATTCTTCTCTGGTTTTAGACTAGATGAAACATTCAAAGTATATTTGCTTATATGCCTTTTATATTGAGATGTAGGGAATTTAAAAGACCATATTTTTCTTTCCTCATCACAATTGTACAACTTTAAATAGAAATGGTAAACTGCGTTTGAAATCTAGCATGGACTATATTTTTGGCGGAATGGTGGCGTATGAAAATATATCGCTTTCTTCGATCTCTCATAATTATAATAGAACAATGAATTTAGTTATAATTTTTATACAATCGAAGACTTGGAGAAATTTTCAAATGCAAGTTAAATCAATAATGAGGGACTAAACTTTCAAAATATATCAAATAAATTTGATTTTTCAATCAAAATTGAACTTTACTAGCTTTTAAAGGCTTCCTATCATACTGCAGATTTGAGCCAAAAATCCATAAAAAGTATTTTTTCTCTCTTAGCAAACGATCAAAACTTTTTGTTTTTGTATCATTTTGTACATTTATAAGACTACTTTATTATATGTGAAATAAAAAAAAAGTTAAATATAGGAAGCATATGAAAATAACTAATATATCCTAAAAAATTAAGAAAAACAGAGAAAATTCGGATTAGCCAATATCCAGTTAAGTTAAATTATTTATGTAAATTTGATAATATCATGCTATAGACCCGATATAGTAATATGTTTTTATGCAAAAAGAACAATCATTTAACTTTTGAAATAGAAGTAGGTATCACATGATTGGCAACAGTTATTTTTTATTCTTAATGTCAAGGAAAAAGATAATGACCTTGACCTGACCTTGTCTCTAATATAAACAGTCAAATTTAATTTCACTGATACTATCACTTACTGATATTGTCTTCTTGCTTTTGTGAAAATTTCATTGAATTTTAATTATTAGAAATATGAGAAGAATCCTACCTTAAGCGCTGTTTTCAATGGAAGATGCAGAACTGTAGCTCTCTGACTGAATTTGGATAGACTAGCCTGTTCTATTCTTGCAATAATACTTTTAAAATACATTCAATAATCCATGGTTGGTGAGCTTGATGTTTGGTCATAATCATAATACTCAAAAACAGGTCTAGTGACAACGAGTTTTCGCCAAGTTTTCTTGAGGTCAGTTGTACGTAAGATGAGGACAAGACTAATTTAGATGAGGTGAGGTCTAGTGAAAATAAGGTCAGTTCTAATGAAGATCAGGTCAGATCTAGTGATGATAAGGTCAGGACTAGAGAAAAAGAGGTCAGGTCCAGTGAAGACAAGGTCAGCTCTAGTGAAGATGAGGTCAGGTCTAGTTAGGATAAGGTCATGACTACAGAAGAAGTCAGTTATAGTGAAGACGAGGTTAGGCCAAGTGAAGATGAGGTCAGGTCTTGTGAAGTTGAGGTCAGGTCTACTGAAGATGAGGTCAGGACTAGTGAAGATGAGGTTCTTGTGTAGATGAGGTCAGGTCTAGTGAAGATGAGGTCAAGAATAGTGAAGATAAGGTTCTAGTGAAGATGACGTCAGGCCTGGGGGCCATAAAACTGAGACGATCTCACTTTTGATCTCAGTCTCACTTTTGCCGAAAGAATATATAGTGGAAAAGTGAGACTGAGATCAAAAGTGAGCTCGTCTAAGTTTTATGGCCCCCAGGCCAGGTCTAGTGAATCGATATGAGGTCAGGTCTATTGTAAATGAAGTCAGGACTAGTGAAGATGAGATCAGGTCTAGTGAAAATGAGGTTCTAGTGAAGATGAGGTCAGGACTAGCGAAGATGAGGTCAAGACTAGTTAAGATGAGGTCAAGTCTAGTGAAGATAAGGTTTTAGTGAAGATGACGTCAGGTCTAGTGAATTTGAGGTCAGGTCTATTGTAAATGAGGTCAGGACTAGTGAAGATGAGATCAGGTCTAGTGAAGATGAGGTTCTAGTGAAGAAGTGGTTAGGTCTAGTGTAGATGAGGTCAGGTCTTGTGAAGATGAGGTCAGGTCTAGTAAAGATGAATTCATGTCTAATGAAGATGAAGTCATGTCTAGTGAAGATGAGGTTCTAGTGAAGATGATGTCAGGTGTATTGAAGATCTCACCAGGAGGTCAGGATTAGTGAAAGGAGGTCATATCTATTGAAGGTGAGGTCAAGATTAGTGAAGATGAGATCAGATCTTGAATGATTTATTTACTGTCTCTATGTATTATAAGTTATAACAGTCCAAGGAATATTTATACAACACACTTCTTTATGGGAAAGTAAATCGAGTGTTTTACCGCACTTCTGATATTTGTCACACTATGACAGGATATCATTTTGATTTCCTTTCACACTGTGATAGTATATCACTTTTATTCAATGGATAAATTACAGTATTTCACTGTTGAAAATGTAATAAAAATTAATATATACTCAGGGACTTTAAAAAACGCCTACTGAAATTGTTTTTATTGTCACATGTATATAATGTTATTTTTGTAGGAAATTTATTAAAAATCAAAATTTGTTCATTTAATCTCTTCATTTCCAATACAATCAACGAGTTTGCTAACCACGTTTTTTCAAGGCAAGCAGTTTAAATTACACTGTCAACATTTTTTCCCGTTTTGATCAGTAACGTGTATGACCACCATTTGCAACTTCACAAGCTCTCAAGCAGGACCTCATGGATTGGCATACAGCTCGAATTCGTCTCATAGGAATGTTATTCCACTCTTCCTGTAGAGCCTGTGCCAATTCTGGCATGCTTGCGGGTTGGCGTTGACGTCTTTTTAACCGTCTTCCCAGCTCGTCCCACACGTGTTCGATTGGATTAAGGTCGGGAGATCTAGCTGGGAATTCCAAGATGTTTACTCCATTAGCGTTTAGAAAGTCCATAGTAATGCGGGCTGTGTGTGAACGCGCGTTGTCCTGCTGAAACGTCAATGGATTATTGACAGTCTGATGACGTCGGATTGGTGGAAGAAGTTCCGGGCGTAGTACGTGATCAATATAGCGCCTGGCTGTTAGAGTGTCCCTCAAAATTATCAAAGATGACTTGAAACTTAGATTGATTGCTCCCCATACCATAACGCCTCCTCCGCCGAATCTGTCATGCTGAATGACACAGTTTGCAGCGAAACATTCATGACGACGCCGGTAAATCCGTTGTCTCCCATCAGCATGCGATAAGTTGAATTTTGATTCATCGCTAAACACTACATTAGTTTTGACGATTGGCAAGCATATTCCGTGCCCATATGACGCGCAATCGTCGATGACGTTGAGTAAGGACATTACCTTTTAATGGACGTCGACAAAATATTCCATGTTCTTTCAATCGTCGTCTCACGGTTCTGGGATGGATATGTCTCCCATGACGCCCTATAACATTTTTCGACGTTGAAACAGACGTCAAAAACCTGTCGCGCAGACGACGTTGCCTAATGAAGACATCTTGACGCCTCGTTGTTACGCGTGGCTGCTCACTTCGCGGACGGTCCTTGACACTTCCTGTGGCCCGATATTTCCTCAGCAATCTTGTTATTGTAGATTGGTACACATTTAAGCGTCGTGCAATATCGCATTGGTTTAATCCAGCGTCAACAAGACCAAGAATTGCATACCTCTGTTGCTCAGACAGCCTAGGCATTTCAGTCAATGGTTGGAATGACGTCAACTCTTGCTATTCTGACTGAAATAGTGTAAGTTGCACGTATATGTGACGAGAGATGAAAAAATTCCTTCGTTAACCACGTGGGTGACTTTAAGTAAAGTGAGCACGGGTGAGACGGGCTGAGTTACGGATGAGTGATTTCATTTTTCGATGATATGGATACATGCCAAAATGTTTAAAACACAATACATAGGCAAAATATTAGGTAATCAAAATTGTGAATTTGTTTTATTATACATTTTCATATAGGCGTTTTTAAAGTCCTTGAGTATATATATGTTAACAGTATTTTAGCATTGTTTAGCCCAAATACAAGGTCATATGACCACTAGAATTACCTAGGTAAAACAGCATACTCAGACTAGCTTTAATTTCTCTGATATAACCGTGTTGCAAAATGAGCTACATGACTTTGGTTTTTTTGTTTGTTCACTTAAAATTTATCGTTTATCTGTTCCCTCTCAAAAACTTTAAACTTATATGGAGATGCCACCATTTGCAGGAGGAAAACTGTTAATATATAATACATGTCCCTATACTCGTCACTCATGATCAAGGCCATTGAGCCAAGCTGAGTGAGGAATTTTTTTATTTTTTTACCTTTTACCTACTTCAACACGAGACATCACTTTATACAGTCTTATTCAAGGACCGGTGTGTGTAACACTAGAGTGATTATAGCAGGGAACATAACTAACATAAACTAGAGGTACTGTGAGCAAGCTCACAATATATATCCATGCTGCAGTTTCTAAAGTGCCTATTTCCAATTTTGTAAATGTGACCTGGAACTTCCCAAAAATTTGACACATCCTCTGGTCGTTATGGTCCAAAATAATCCTCGAGTAAACAAGAGACCCATGGGCCACATCGCCCACCTGAGCACCGTGGCTGGGAAAAAGTAGAAATTGGTTTATCATTGAATAGTTTATATCCAAAAGTAGTCCCATGACCAATCATGACTTTGCTATTTCTTGATAAGGTGATTTTTAAAGAATTTTCCTATGTCTATGTAAAACTTTGGTTGGCCATTTTGGCCCCACCCTACCCCCGGGGTCGTGATTTGAACAAACTTGAATCTACACTACCTGAGGATGCTTCCATATAAATATGATCAATTATGACATCTGATGTATCTCCTTTAAAAATAGAGACCTGTTAAGAATTTAATAGTTTTTTTTTCTGTCAGCGACCTTGAACTTGTCACTTTGACATTGAGTCAAGTTTATGACACATCCTCAGGTCAAAAAATAAACTTTGT